ATGGGAACTGGGCTTGCAAGAGCTAGGTAGGTCCTCAGAATCCCTGCCCAGCATGCTAGGTTCATTTCTAGAGTCAGGGAAACTGAGTCAAAATCTGAGTAGAGCATTGGGGCAACAGTAGCAGATGAGGCAAGACAAGGTGAGAAATGCATTCACTTCAAGACCACCTGACACCAGGTCTTGGGAGCAAGTCCCACAAAATGGTAGGGCTGGGATTTCTGGCCTTTGGGATTGGCTCAGGACCTGGGTGAGCCAGCATATGCAGATAAAGTCTACCAGGGGGTAAAGGGTGAAAGCTCAGTTCTGTTATTTTTTTTTAACATCTTTATTGGCATATAATTGCTTTACAATGGTGTGTTAGTTTCTGCTGTATAACAAAGTGAATCAGCTATACGTATACCTATATCCCTATATCCCCTCCCTCTTGCGTCTCCCTCCCACCCTCCCTATCCCACCCCTCTAGGTGGTCACAAAGCACTGAGCTGATCTCCCTGTGCTGTGCGGCTACTTCCCACTAGCTATCCACTTCACATTTGGTGGTGTATACATGTCCATGCCACTCTCTCACTTCGTCCCAGCTTCCCCTTCCCCCTCCCTGTGTCCTCAAGTCCATTCTCTACGTCTGCGTCTCCACTCCTGTCCTGCCCCTGCTTTCTCAACTCTTGGCCTGTGTAGATGAGACTTGGCTTAATGGAAAAGAGAGATGAAGGGCAGCGTTTGGACGGAGAATCTGAACCGGATGAGCATTAATGCAGAGCAAGGTGTGCAAGAAGAGGGTTTGCGGGGTCATACCGGAGTGGGACATAGCACCGTGAGAAGGCATATTTGAATAAGATTACGGAGGAGCGTAAAGATGGGAGGGTCTCTGAGGATTCAGAAGCGAGGAAGCCAAGACAAGTTTGTCATGGGCAAGGCGTGGAGGCCGCTGACTTGCTACAGACCTGCTTTTCAGTTTTAATTTTTGCATTTTTAAACCACAGTCACACTAGGGCAGCTACTGAGGAGTGAAACCAAGATAGCTGTCCTCTGGTGGGAGTAGAGGGCTAACTTTTTCCTAGTTGGACTCCAAATATTTGGAGCCATTTACCACTACAACCATCACTAAAAGCGGCCTGTGGACACTCTTCGGATGTTCCAGCCTCACTTAGAGTGAATAATCTTGACCAAGATCCTGCTGCAATGGGGGAGTTGACTCAGAGAGACAAAAACAAAATTTTTTTTAAGTTATTTACACTTTTTTTTATTGAAGTATAGTTGGTTTACAATGTTGTGTTAGTTTCTGGCGTACAGCAAACAGCAAAGTGAGTCAGACTTCAGATCTGAATATAATATCTGACCCAAATATTCTTTTTTAGATTCTTTTCCATTATAGGTTATTACAAGGTATTGAATATAGTTCCCTGTGCTATACAGTAGGATCTTGTTGTTTATGTATAGTGGTATCTGTTAATCCCAACGTCCTAATTTATCCCTCCCCCCGACTTTCCCCTTTGGTAACCATAAGTTTGTTTACCATGTCTGTGAGCCTGTTTCTGTTTTGTAAATAAGTTAATTTGTATCAGCATTTTTAGATTCCACATGTAAGTTGTATCATATTATATTTGTCTTTGTCTGACTTATTTTACTTAGTATGATAATCTCTAGGTAATCCACATTGTTGCAAATGGCATTGTTTCATTCTTTTTTATGGCTGAGTAATATTCCATTGTATATATACACCACATCTTCTTTATCCATTCATCTGTTGATGGACATTTAGATTGCTTATATGTCTTGGCTATTGTAAATAGTGCTGCTGTGAACATTGGGGTGCATGTATCTTTTCAAATCAGAATTTCTGTCCTTTCCGGATATATGCCCAAGGGTGGGATTGCTGGATCATACTGTAACTCTATTTTTAGTTTGAGACAAAAACCAAATTTATCCCCAGCCTCATGTCCACCAGCCATAAAAATCATCAGTGGACAGCGGGAGGTATGCCTAGTGTGGGGAGAGACCACAATAGATGGTCAGGTTAACAGTCAGCATAGCAAAGTGGGCAGTTGGGGTTATCTTTCTCTCTGAAGGTTTACTTACCCCACTGTGTTTACCCTGCTGGAGAGTCAGTTGCAGGATGAGTTGGGAATCATTATTTATTGAAACACAGTAATGAGACCACTATGATTGTGTCCAATTCCCTGGCATGGGGGTTTCAAGGCATCAGAAACTACCCGTGGCTAGTCCACAGATTCCAGGATACCTTAGGAAATCCCAGAGGAGCTTATTTCTTTTCAGTTTATAAAATGCTTCCTGAAAGCATTATTAGTGGAAAAATTTATTTAGGAGAGTTTCTTTGAGCCTGGACCAGCATACCAGGAAGCATAAGTGATGAAAGTATCTGCTCCTACCTGCTCCACCCTGCTCCCCATCCAGGCATTTCTTTTTCAAAACACGTGGAGCCCTGATTTGGAAGAGCTGTCTAGTTAGCACGTGACCTCGCCCAAAAGGTGTGATTTATAGCAGTTGATCTCAAGTATTTTGATGCAAAAAGAGAAGGGAAGTTTCAATAAAAGGATATTATAGAACTTCTTCAGCCAGTAGGTAGAATTCCCATCCCCAAGCCAGGCTGAGATCAGATCTTTAGGACAAAAAACTCTTTCAGGTCTAGATGGATCCAGTGAAGCTGGATTAGGGAGAACAGCAGTGTTTGAGATCCTCAGGCACAAGTATGGCGGTTGAACTTGCTGAGTCTTGGCTGTCTTGACTCCACACCCGTTCGAGGCTGTGGTGCTGTTCACCTTGGCTCAGTCACTGTGGTCTCCACCGTCTCCCCCATAGAATGGGGAATAATTGCACGTTCATCACACACTGTCCACAAATGAGGATGATTCATCAGTCGCTCTCAGATTTGCCAGATTCCTCTCTCCCAATGGCACGTGACTGACAATTTACTACGCCTTTCTACACTTCCATTTCCTCTTCTGTTAAAAGGGATGGTAATGGAGAAAGACAAATATCAGATGATATCACTAACAGGTGGAATCTTTAAAAATGATACAAATGAACTTATTTACAAAAAGGAAACAGACTCACAGACTCAGAAAACAAACTTATGGTTACCAAAGGGGAAAGGTTGGGGGGAGGGGTAAATTAGGAGGCAGGGATAAACATATACACATTACTATATATAAAATTGATAATCAACAAGAACCTACTGTATAGCACAGGGAACCTTGTCCAATATTCTGTAACAACCTATACAGGAAAAGAATCTGAAAAAGAATGGATATATGTGTATGTATAACTGAACCACTTTGTTGTGCACCTGAAACAGCACTGTAAATGAACCTACTCCCATATAAAATAAAAATTAAATTTAAAAAAGGGGGGATTGTAATAGCCCATGCTATGCACAGGGGTAGTGTGAGGGCTCAGTACAATTTGGATGATTAAGACACTCAGCACAGGGACTTCCCTGGCAGTCCAATGGTTAAGACTCTGCCCTTCCAATGCAGGGGGTACGGGTTCGATCCCTGGTCAGGGAACTAAGATCGCACATGCTGCGCAGCACAGCCAAAAAAACTTTTTAAAAGACACTCAGCACAATGCCTGGCCCATGGTAAGTGTTCCATACATAGGAGGAATGACTTGAAACCCATTATGAGCCTTTAGCATCTTGATTTAATTAGATGACCCTGAGGGGTTAGATAGAGCAGGTGGCTTAGAACGTGAAACCTGGGAGGATATTCAAAAAGAATCCTGAAAAAGCAACTAGAAGGTCCCCAAAGAACAGGATACTGGCTACTTCATAGGAGTTGTTACTGAACCAGGAGCTCCAGTTATGAGAGAGTCGCTTGATGGCGCCTGTGTACACCGAACCTCTACTGTCACTAAGATTTCTATTTCCGAGTACATCGCAGAGGGAGTAGTAGCAGGTGGAAGGCTTCAAGAAGTTGTCTGTTAGGTGGTGTGAGGCTGGCAGATGGTGATCCGCCCTCTGAACAGGAGGAATGGACAAAGGAAGGCTGGTCTTTTCAGGGCTCATCAAACAGCACTCAGTCATTTCCAACGTCCCTAGATGGGCAGCCTTGCCCCTGGATGCCCTTCCCCTGATTTAAAAAAACCCATAAATTTTAAAGGGTAAATGTAAGCCATGGGTTTCCAAGAATTTACGCTTACTTCATCAAATCTATTGTTTTCCGAGAGTTGTGTGGAGTCCAAAAAGACTAATGAGCCTTTTCCAAATGTCTTTAAAAATCCTTTTTTCTTAGAAGGACATTTAGAGGCTTTCAAAGTTGTTCCAAGGGTAAAAATAATAATATAATAATAAATTTCTCAAAACTCTCAACCCCTGCAGGTTCAAAATTTGCTTAATTCTTCAAACCCAAGGGACTTGAATTATTACTGGGATTTGTCATTTCTTGTTTATGGGGCTTTTCCAAAGGGGAGAAAGGAACCATGTGGAGGTTCACTAGAGTTCACTGCATCGTTCACAGCCATGCCCATAGCCCAGAAGGCTTCCACAGTCTTCTCAAGCTGAACCTTCAGGCGAAGCCCCCCTTACTTGGTGGCATCCGTGAGGCCAGGTTGGAGTTAAACTGAATGCACTGACTTTTTCAGCCTGGCTTAATTTTGGCTGGAGGATCAAAGCCCTCCCAGAACAATTCTTTTGTAGGGAATACAATCTATGTCACGTAAAACAGGTGATCTATCGTTAGGTGACTGTGGGGTGCAAAGAGAACAATTTTTCCTTGGGGTGTGTGCAAAGAGCCAGCTGCGGCTGGGCTGCCCTTGAACGTTGTCATCTGATGACCTCTGGTGGTGGCATTTTTCCCAGCATGTGTGCAGCGATGCTTCTGAGCCAAGCCATCCTTGTCACATTTTCCTACATTCCTTTCCTCCTGTTTTGTTATTCACGTTCAGCAAGGAGCAAGAATCAGTTGCAAACACCCAGAGTAAAGTGGTGCATGTGCCTAACCAGACTGTCGTTTCAAAAAAGTTGCCTGTGCCTTCTCTTTCAGTGAACCTCTGATCCATTTCCTGTGGAAAGAGAAGGGAGCCAACATGAAGGAAAATGTAGCATCCACAGTGGTTTTCATTTTGCTACTGTTTCTCAACACCAACCTTCTGAATGGTAAGTAAGAGACTGTCCTGTTCTCTTTCATTCCCTGGGGTGTTTATATGAGAGAAGGGGAGAATCCATCACAGTCCTCTTGCAATGCAGTTATGAGAAATGAAAATGTCCATGTCATTTGCTGCTATTAAATTATTTACAATATTTGGGGGATTAAAACGAATGCAAAAATTAATGCAAAAGAATGAATGCAAGTAATGCAAAATCCTGTCACTATGCTCTGACTTCCATCCTCATTTTGGGAGTGCAGGGAAAAAGCTCTACCAACAACAGACCAGAGTTTCAGTTCAGGTTCTGTCCCTTACTAGCTGTGCAACCTTGAGCCAATTACCTAACCTCTCTGGATTTATACATTTTCAAAGTGAGAATAGTGATGTTTCTTCCACCTCAGATGAAAAGGTCTGTGAGAAAAATCTTTGAAAACCTGTAAAGAGTTATAAGGGGATTGCTGTTACATGGTGGGAAACGGGTATAGAGCCAACCCTGTTATGGGAAATGAAATTCACAACTAGACTAGAGTGTGTGAGCCTGTGTGTGTACATTTCAGTGTATCTACCACTGCGTATTTCTGGGTGTGTACACTTTTGTATACTTGTGTGTATCTTAACTTCCCTATATGTGCCTGATTGCAAATGCTTCTCTGTGTATACCTGTCTGTGTACACATTTGTGGGTGTATGTTTCTGTGTATGTACCTGTGTGTGTACTGGTGTATACTTCTACAAGTATGCACCTGTCTATATTATTCCTCTGTGGTATGTGGGTTTGCTTCTGATATGGGCTCTATTTCAGTGTGTGTGTGTGTGTCTGTGTGTGTGTGTGTGTGCCTGTGTGTGGTACCTCTGTGGTTGTTCCTATGTTGGTGTGCATTTTATAGGGATAGTGAGACAGTCCATTCATTGTAACCATCTCCTCTAAAGTGGGTGAAAGAAACATTTAACTAATTATAATTTCACAACTTTACCCTCCTCTCTTGAGTTTCCTCCAGGTACTATTAATAACCAGTGAAATGTGAGAGAGAGAAGCTTTCAGAGAAAAAGGACCGCAGAGATCAGTATAATCCATAAGGAAATTTTAAGTATTCAAATAATCAACAGTGGCCTTAATTGGCTTCTAAATATGCCCATTATTGAGCCATAAGTTTCGTGCTTTTTTAAAAGTAAACTTTCCTTTCTACGTCACATACTCCTCCCTATAGCCACAACAACAAACAAACAAAAAATCGCTTCACCCTGTAAAATTACCCTGAAGAAATGTTCCCTAGAGGACAGCAACATTACAAACATTGGCAGAGCTGACCCCAGGCTGTCTGGCGTGGACCATTTTCAGGGGGCTGGGAGGTGGCTGGGCTCTGGCTGACATGCAGCCTGGTGACCTCGGCCCCAGCCTGTGCACCGCATCATCCCCTTCCATTCAGCTCTTCTTTCCAGCCGTTTTGCCTAGTGCCCTGCCTTCCCACCTGTGTTCTCCACCAAACTTGCTCTTTCTGACCTGCTAGCAGTTCTACCCGGGAGCCAGTGTGAGGGGTGAAGGGCAAGTGTGGCAGAAAACAGAGAAGCCCCAGAGGCTGAGGGACCACCACCTGGAAGCTCTTCTCTCTGCTCCTGATTTCCTGAACTAAACACCACCCGGGGTTATGTGGCTCGCTGTGGATGGGCCCCCCAGCCCAGCAGCATCAGTGCCACTGTTTCCCTCTTTGGACCTGACAGACAAGGAGTAGAAGAGGGAGCCAGCTCACCAAGAGCTTTGGGGATTAGGGAACTCAAAACCTTCATCCACTTGGCATCGGGTTTTCCACATCAGCTCTTTCAGCTCTGCTAGCTTCCAGCTGGGACTAAGTACAGCTCCTAGATAATGATGGCAGCTAGTAACCGCAAGTGCAGCCACCTGTAGGAGCTCCCATGCCTCCTACCCATAAAGACCCAGGGAGAGAGGGGGAAATATAAGGGAAAAGGGACCAAAAACCCAAATTAGGAAATGGAGGCAGGGAGGATGGGGAGCCAGACTGTGATGCTGAATCGGAGGTCAAAGCTGAATGGAGGGCCTCCCTGGTGGCGCAGTGGTTGAGAGTCCGCCTGCCGATGCAGGGGACGAGGGTTCGTGCCCCGGTCCGGGAGGATCCCACGTGCCGCGGAGCGGCTGGGCCCATGAGCCACGGCCGCTGAGCCTGCGCATCCGGAGCCTGTGCTCCGCAGCGGGAGAGGCCACAACAGTGAGAGG